TTGAGTTGGAAGGGGTCTTTAAAGCTCATCTCATTCCAATCCCCCTGCCATGAGCAGGGACACCTTCCACTAGACCAGGTTGCTCAGAACCCCATCCAACCTGGCCTTGAACATTTCCAGGGATGGGACATCCACAGCTTCTGTGGGCAACCTGTTCCACCTCACCACCCTCACAGTAAAGAATTCCTTCCTTATATCTAATCTAAACCTACTCTCTTTCAGTTTGAAGCTATTTCTCCTTGTCCTATCACTCCAGGCCTTAGGAAAGGTCCCTCTCCAGCTCTCTTGTGGCTCCTTTCGGTACTAGAAGGAGCTGTAAGATTTCCATGGAGCTTTCTCTTCTCCAGGTTTAACAGCCCCAACTCTCAGCTTTTCCCCACAGAAGAGGTGCTCCAGCTTTCTGAGATCTTTGTGGCTTCCTTTGGACTTGCTCCAGCAGCTTCACATCCTTCTTATGTTGGGCACTCCAGAGCTGGACTCAGAACTCCAGGTGGAGTTTCTCCAGAGCAGAGTAGAGGGGGAGAATCCCCTCCCTGGACCTGCTGCCCACTCTGCCTTTGATGCAGCCCAGAATACGATTGGTTTATGAGCCTTTCTTCTTCACACTTCCCCTCCCTTTTCATTTCAGGCAAGTCAGGAGGACAGCTCTGCACCAGTGGTGATGGAGCCAAGGCTGGACACTGCTTTACCTCCTGCATTTTAAGTGCATTTTAAGAGCCATTCCTTAAGCAGACTGCAGTGCTGCTCCTTTCATTGTCTGTCTCCCAAATCCACCAGCACAGCTCGGCACTCCTTGTCACCTCCTGGGCTCACAGTGGGTGTCACTGACCCACCAAATGGAGCTGCCACATCTTTCCTGAGCAGCCAGCGAATAGATCACACTCTCAAATCACTGCCTGGAAAGTCTGCATGGTATGTGGCTTAATTTTCTTTTCCATAATGTGAAATCCAATCTGAAATGCACAGATTAGTTTACTAATCTGTGTAAATCCTATTAATAGCACTTGCGCTGCTGTGCTCCCATTCACATTCTAACAAATCTGTTTGGACTGGCTTGGTTTTCCCTCATCTCCTGCAAGACCTTCACACCTGGTTGTGGTCACGTCTTCACAAAATAGCTGGCCACTAATGGAAACTTGAGCTTTACACTCATCTCTCGTATTTTAATTCGTGTCCCATGGTCCATCACGTTCTGGATCAAAGCATTAGTGCTGTAAATCAACATGGTGCCATCGAAGCTAAAGGGATTGTACAAAGGATTACACAGCTTCAGTGGGGAAGGGCACAGCCCCTCCTTTGCCCCAGCATCACTGGCTTCTTCCCCTGCTCCCACTGCTCCATGCCCCACACAGCTCCCACTGGTACCACAGTGACTCCATCCTGCCCTGGGCACCTTGCCCGAAACTAGGCCCAAACACCAGCAAAGGACCTGCTTGAAGGAAGGAGGCAATGGACAGTCTCTGGAGACACTGGATGTGTTCACACCAGCCCCAAGCACATCCCCTTCTCACCTGTGGGTTTCAGGTGGCACACCCAGCACCAGGGCTTGTGACTGTCAGAAAGAGCATCCTTGCTGGCAGCTGGGTGGGCTGCAATAATTTCCCCTGAGCTCAGTGATGCCTCTCAAAGAGAAGGCACCCTCTGTTCTGCTACAGAATGAACCATTCTGTATTTGAAACAACAATATTTACTTTACCTATAGTGGACTCCAGTGGCTCCCTACGTTGCAGTTGTGGTGAGAGGGGTCAGCACCAGGAATGGCAGAGGAGGAATGTGGGGCTTGCATGCCTGGCTCCAGCTTCCTAATCAAGCTGTGCATTAATTAGCTAGTCCATCTCCACACTGCTGTCCCCTGCACTTCATTTCACCACCATCCCAGAGTCCTTGTAACTGAGCTCCTTCCATCATGGCCACAGCCTCAGCCCATCCCACAGGACACCAGCTCCACACTGAGCCAGGACCATGCTGTTGCCTTGGTGTAAAGAGTCCTCCATGACCTTGGACCTGGCTGGAATTTGCCAAAACCAGCCCTTGGGAAGGACTCTGAGCTGTTGTCACTCCTGACCTGTGCCCTTGCAGCCTTCCAGCACCTGCTGGTGCATCCCATACCACGTGCCAGGCAGGAGTGGATGGATGTGGGAGAAGAAACCCTGCCAGGCAAAAAGCTCCCCAGACTTACCAGCTGGGAAGTTTTAACAGAGAACAGGAGAACATGAGAACTCTCAGGTGACGAAGAGAAAAGATCTCTAGATCGTGGAAAGGGAAGGGTTTGAGTTAAAACTCCATTTACACAAGTCCACAGTAGGACAAACCCACTCCTGATCTCCCTGACAAGGGATCCCTGCTCCTTGCACAAGTCTGTTGTCTGTGTGATCCTCATCATCCAGCTCTTCACAATTCCCAGGGCCAAGCAAGGCTCTGAAGTGCTTTCACTAACCTCAATAAAAAGGCTGGATCTGCAGTGGCAAGTCAGCTACAGCAGAGCCCTGGATATGTTTCCAATGGTTTTTCAACCAGAGGGTTAAAAGAATTATTAGCACAAAGGATTTGTAGCTCTTCTCTTTTCTTCCCCATAGCTGAACTGCATCTACTCCCCATCCAAAAGCATGTGGATTTTCTCTCATCACTGTAGAAACTTTTCAAGGTCAATACAGCTTCCCTCTCACCTAGTTTTCCCTAAAATGGTTTTAATATTTTTTTATTATCTGAATAATTCCTAGTGGTTTACATGAATACTAACTCAGGAATTGTTTGTAATTCCTCAGTATCATGGAAGAAATGTTTTAAAAGCATTACCCACACTCAAGAAATTCTCCCCAAATTCTCTTTTACGAAAGGTTCTTACTTGTTACCTTTGTTAAAGCTTGCCTGTGAAGCAGCCATTTGTTTGTAGACCTTTAATCTCTTGGTAAAGGTGCCTGCTGTGAGATATTAAAATGCCACAGAGAAAGAAAAAACCCAAACATGAAAAAATAGAGGAATTTTTGGAGAGAGCCTACTGGCCAAATACAATATGTGGCCAGACAGAATCAGAAGCACTGGCTGCAGTACAAACCCAAGAGGCATCAGACGAACCACCTCAGCCACAATGGTAATGGTTCACCAGAAAAAGGAATGTAGAAAACAAAATGGGGGGAAGATCCCCCCCCACCCCTTCCTCCTCTGCCTTACCCCCAAAAGACTATCTGACATGGCTGATACTTCCACTGCATGCAAATGTGCCACTTGGGAAAGGCAAACAGGGACTTGCTTGCTGGCTGGGAATTTTGACTACAGTGTCATGCCTGCCCAACCCTGTGCAGGCAGACCTCAGGAAAAGTGATGCTTAAAATACTAAGGGTGAGATGAGAGCAGGGGAACAGCCCATCTCAACCCTTTGTACATTCACTGAACTCCTTTGTAAAACTGCCATGATTTCTATCACCTTTGCTGCAGAGCATCAGGTACCGATGGCTGGAGACCTTGTTGCAACATCCAGCTCATGTGTGCTCACAGCCAGCCTGTGCCCATCCATCCCATGCCCGTTTTGTCCTTCCCCTTAAATAGCTCTTTCCCCTTGGACACGATTATAGGGGACAGTCACACTCCCTTCTCTCACCTCTGCCTTTACTGCACAGCCTAACCAAGCTGTGCTGGAAGCTGGCTTGCAAAGAGCTCCTTTGAGCTCCTTGTCCCGATGTCAAAACCTGTGTCACATGCCATGATCAGCTGAGACACAGCACACTCTGGAAGAGCCCTGCTGGTTTCATACACCCAAGGAGCTCACAAGTCACCTTCCCCTCCCTGTTGCAAACAGTCCTTGAATGAACACACAGGAGAGTTCAGTTCGCCATTTGCCAGGAGGGTTCATCCAAAAGGTGAACTTAACTCACAGCTGCTTTTCAAACCCCGCCCAAGGATGGACTCAGGAGCTCCAGCTGCTCGTTCTCAGGCAGTATCAGGACTTTCTGCCCCTACCTGTCCCCAGGAGAGGGCTGCTACCTTGCTGTGGTCTTGGCAGAAGTAACGGTGTGTCCCCTCCACGGTCATCTCAGAGTGCAACCTACTGCCCTAATGTCCTCTGCAGCAGCAGGTGGCTTCAGCTGGAACATCAAGTGGTTGCTCATGCTTTAGCTGTGGGAGAACAGATCTTTGGGAAAGATAAGATGGACGGGATCTCATGAAGGCTAGGAGTGGGGCTAAAAGCCTGGATCACGGAGAACTTTTCAGCCTGGTTCATTTTAGATTTGGCTTCAGAAATTCAGGGTTCAATTTCTGCTGCAAAGTTTGATGTTGATTCCTCGAACTCACCTGTAGCATCTCCTGCTTCCACCCAGCACTCGCCACAGTGTCAAGGGAATATCTGCATCGCCTGTTGTAAATGTGCTCTGGCAGCAGTGAGAGAAGAATTACTATACAATTTTGTCTACAACAGCCCTGCAAACTTCTTTTACACCTACTTGGAGTGTAAGTTTTCTATCGCGGAGCAGCCTCTCCTCTATCTCCAATGCTGAGTTGCACAGGACCCCACCTTTAGGGAAGCCTCCACGTGTCACTGTGGTAAAACTCCCTTTCAAATGAATTTTAATGGAAGTATTTGTATTTAATATTGGCTCCTGTGTAAAGGATCAAAGTTCTGGCCCTTGGTATCTCTCCATCCTCCATGAACAAACACAAGTAAGCTGCCAACACTCCTCAAAGCTGTATCCTACAGCTCCTTGGTCCTGCTGAGGTCCGTATGCTTGGGAAGAAGATACAGGTGTGCCAGCAGTGGCCATGACCATGATGACTTTAAGGCAGAGGAATGCTTTGGAAAGTGAATGCCTTTCATAAAAATCCCCCAAATATTTCATTCTGTCCTCATGCTCAGCCAAACAGCTTCTCCAAGTACCCATCTATTACAACTAATAATAAAGGTAAGTTTCTACTCTCATGACCTTACCTCACTAAGTGTAACCCCATGTGCTTTCACAGATGTGCTTTGGGAGCTCTTCCATAAGTGGAATTGCTGGAAATCTCCAAGAATTGAAATGACTTCACTTGATATTTAAAGAGATGAGAAAAAAGGGAGCGGAGAGAAATACAGTCAGTAGATTAGACACTGTCATCTGATCCACTCAAGGTACAAAGGACATTAAACAGAACTGAAACTCAAATTTAATGAAGCTGAGAGACACAAACTTGTGTGTAATTAGCTTGCAAGATTCACTGCCACAAAGTATCATGGAGGCCAAGAGCCTGTCACCAAAATTGTGGAAATACATACATTTATACACACATACATATAAAAGTGTATATATATATATATATATATATATATATATACACACACCTACATGTGAGCGTGTAACTGTGTTCTCTCGGGGCTGAAAAGGACTTGACAACACCATTCAGTCTTTTCCCCAGATCCAAGACAAGATCAAATAGACGTCGGTATTTTCTGACAGATGTTTGTCTAGACCTGTTTTTAACAGAGAATCTCCCACCTCCCGGGGCAATTTATTCCAATGCTTCCTTTTCTTCTTCACCTTTCTCCACACACACACACACATATTTTTATCTCAGAAGGTGAGCGGAGCAGCCTCTGATGACTTGCACATCAAAAGGCTTGTTAACTCATTTCTCATGGCAAGATCTTTCTTGTGAATGACGTACGAGCCCAGAAGATCCCATCGTGACCTGAGGTGACAGGCTGAGCTTGGGGGACCAGCAGATGGGTTAAGGAGGGGCAAATGGGAAAGGAGGGGGAAATTCAGTCCTTTCCTTATTAACCCATCAGATTTGTCTGCTGATAAAAGAGAGACCAACTTTGTATACCCCATTTTTAGGCTCAAACAATAAGCTCCTCTGTTTTTTTTGATAAAATAAATACATTTTTGGCTTCCTCAGCAGCCACCTCAGAGGAGATGCTGTCCTGTCAAACTTAAGTAAGGCAAAGGAGGGGATGAGGAATGAGGCTGCGCAGCTGGAATATGTAAATGGCAGGATGGAGAGTAGCACTTTCCCAGCCACGCTGGATATCTATTACCAGTCCACTTTTGGACTGACAATGCACCAAATGTTTCATTGCCTGGGGCCTTACAAAGCTGACCGGCTTTTTTAGCTGAGAGCACTAATGTAGAAAGGCAATTGGGAATTAATTATTTAATGTGGTTCTTGTTGGTAGAAAGCTTCCACCCCTCCTGCATCTCAGCTACCATTATACATATGTTGCTTTTCTTCAGACTACAGTGATTAGGCAGCAGCGGAAAATGACCGCTAAATCCTGTTCCCACTTGCAATGAACTCCATTTAAATCGACAGATTTGCATTCAATAACCAAGGGCAGAGTTTAACCCTGTGCTGGGAGAGCATCATTTGTGACAAAAACCATAAACAGATCTGTTTCCATTTCTGAAAATAAGCCGTCTCATACCTCTGCTCCCAAGGTCCCTCTTTGATAGGCAGCAGAAGAGTACTGTTTAAAAATTAAAATCCATACGAGTAGCCCTATTAGGAAATCAGACTGAGCTCCCTTTAATGTGGCTGTTTGGATGCCTCACTGGAGCAGGCAGAAAGGTGTATCCCGAATCCACACCGCATGTTGGTTCAGCTCCAGCTTCTCCCGGATTCTCAAGATAAGCATCTATTTCATTTAGAGCCTTTTTAGTTATGACCTGTGAAGAAGCAAATGTCCTTTTGAAGATCTCCCTGCAACAGCTGCATACCAGAGAGTCCCGGCCAAGTTACTTGAAGAGCTTAAGGATCAGGCCCCAAGTATTTAAAAAATAAAGTGCAAAATAAGGTTCTGCAGCAGGGCTGAGAAGGGGCATGAACTTACCTGTCAGCCATCATACATGAGAAATTGGTAACTTCTTCCCCGCAGTCATCACCTCTGGAATCATTCCGGAGGAAGCTCTGACAGGAGCCCACTAAAATTCAGTGTAGTGAATTAAACCGGGAATTAATTTATTGCAATGTGTCATATTTTTCCAAACACAAAATATACTGGGTTAGCTTTTTTTTTTTTTTTTTTTTTTGGCTCTTCAGATGAAAGGAATACGGCTGTACAGATGTGCTTTTCTGAGATCCAGTGGCATGAAACCTGAAATGCCCCAGCAAGTTTCAGGAGCGAGAAGTTTTAATCACCATGGAAGCACAACACTTTTGAAGGTCTATGAAATTATACACCCAGGTCTGAAGAAAGGGTAAACTTATCTGTCTGGGCAGATCTGCTGATAAACAGAGACAACTCATTTTCTTCTGGAAAGCTGCATTCTATGTTGTTTGAAAAAATAATCAGCTGTTCAAGACAGGTTTATGCTGGGAAGGGGAAGGACAAAAAAAAAAAAAAAAAAGCAGTGCTGGGAGAGACTTTCCGGAAGGGAAAAGGAAAGGCAGTGTGAAAGTATTCCCATCAGTTAAGTGATTCCCTGCAAATTCAGGAGGTGGAAGAGATGATGAGCTGAGCATCTCTCAGGGCCAGACAGAGCAAGGCTGGCGACGACAGAGGCATATGGAGACCCACCCAGGGCGCAGACAGAGCAGAGGACCCCCAGACCTCGGCTTACGCAAGGTGACCTTTCCCCTCTCTAAAATTTCAAAGCTGGCGTTGCCGGCGCTGAACAGACTGTGTGCCATATGTAACATGACCTCAGCTCTGCTCTGCCAAGCCACTGATGGCATCACTAATGAGAGGTGAAAGGTCCCCTCCTTGCAGCTCACTCGGAAACCCACCGAGGCGGCGGGTGCGGGACGGGCCCCCCAACCCTGTAGCCCTGCAGGCAGACACTCACTGTCCCCCTGACCCCACATCCCTGCAGGCAGGGGCCTGCTGCCCCCCAACTCCATATCCCCCTGGGCAGGTGCCCACTGATCCACCACAGGCAAACACACTCATACAAGGGGTTGATGGTGCCTCTTCCCTTGGCCCAGCTGAAACTGGCACAGTCCCCCAGCAATGGAAATATTTCAGTACCCAAATGCAAAGCAGGTAGGCAAAGAGAGCCCTGGATGTAAATCCTGTCCCTGGTCCAGCTGCCACCCTTCCAGCCACTGGGCAAGCACCTTGCTCTGAGCATGAATCATGACTGGGCATTACTGGGTGGGGAGAAGGATTTGGGCTAGAGGATGATGTGAAAGGAGGGGGTCCTTGGGCTGCCCTCCTCAAGCCAGGAAGGGCCTGAAATTTAACTTATTTTCTTTTCCAGTATTTTGCACTAAACCTGTTGCAGTGTCTTGCACAAAAAAACCCAAAACCAAAACCAAAACAAACCGCGTTTCCCCACACACCCTTTTTTTCCTTTCTTTTTTTAATAAGGAGGTTTAGGTTCTTTTTGCAGTTTTCCCGGTGTCCAGCGCCCCCCTGCCCCAGCCATCACCTAAAAAAAGGGACAGATGGGACCCGCCCACGCTCCACTCCTGAGCATCCGTCTTCCTGCCCTGGACACACGTGGGCATGGTCCATGTGCTCCTGGGTGGGTGTCACGGGTGTGGGGTTCACGCGTGTTGGGGGGGGGGTGTACACGTGGGTGGACACCTGGACACAGGGCTGTGGGAGCGTTCACATGGCTCGGTGTGTGCTCACACGGGTGCCTGCCCACAGGTGAGGGCAGGCAGGGATGTCTGTGCCACATGAGGAGCTGTACACACAGGAGGGTGTGCATTCGGGGCGGGCGGGGGGGGAATGTGCGCACACGTGGGTAGGGGAGTGCACACAGGTGGATTTTGGGGTGTCGGCACCCCGGGGAGGGTCACAGGTGTGTGTGTGCACATCGGTGGTGAGCACACATGGGTATTTGTGGGCACTGGGGCACTGCCCGTGGGGTGTCTGGGTGTACAAGGGTGGGTGTTACAGCGCGGGCTTGGCGTGGGTGGCCCTGCACCCCCATTCCAGCCCCGGGACCCCGTCGGGACAGGGCTGGAGCAGCCCCTCCTGGAGCGCAGAAGGCGCCCGAAGTTTTTTTCTCTTTCGCAAGTGACTCATTCCTGGCAGATGTGGCACCGCTGAGGTGCAGTGAGGACCCACCCACCCACTCAGTACTTATATTCCACCACCCCCCCCGCGACCGTGCTCCTGCCTCCCCACAGAGGGCCAAACCCCGCGGGGAAGGGGCTGGCTTTACCCCTCGCTGATTTTCTGCCGGGGATTCATTTTTACATCGCATCCGGCGCTGAGAAATTAAATTATTCGTTTCAAATACTTATTCCACCCCCCCTCCCCCCCCCCTTCCAGCACACCCTCCTCTCACAGGGGGGCAGACGAAGGTGCCCACACGTGTCGGGTTGCGCTGGGACATATCCCACTGCCGGCCGCGGAGTGGCTGCGGAGGGGCAGCAGGGACATGTTTTTCTTTCACGGAGGAGGCACATCTCGGGGGAACATCCTGCCGGTTGCGGGGAAGCAGCGCTCGAACCCGCGGCAGCCCCGCGCCTGGTTTGGCCGCAGCCGAATTCCAGCTGCATTATCTTACTTTAAATAAATAAATAAATAAATAAATAAATAAAATTTAAAAAAATAAGGCTGCAGGAGTTGCAACTACCATTGTCTCGGGTACCGGCAGATGCCATTACGCCGAGAAACGAGAGGAAAACAACGTCGCGACAAACGCGAAGCGCCGCGCTGATACCGCGCGGGTCACTGCGCGCCCGCGGGAGGCTCCCAGCCCCTCCTGGAGCGGGAATCCCACCTCCCGCCGTGGGACTGCCACCCCCCGTGGGTGGGGGTGCAGACCCTCCCGGTAGCGCTCAGGGGCTTCGAGGAGGTGTGAGCAGCTGAGGATGCAGCGGGTGGGGGTCTCCCCCCTCCGCGTGGGGGGACTGCCACTGACGGGGGGAGCTGCGCACTCCGGGGGCGTGTGGGCACTCGAGGGTCGTGTGGCGGACACGGACACGCGGGGGAGATGCAGCCCAGCCAGTGCCGGCTGGAAGACGAGCCGGCGGGCTTCTGTGCTGAAAAGGAGTTAAACCCCGCCGTTGTCCTTTGATTTAGGAAATGGCTCATCCAATTCAGTTCCAGATTATTCAGGGGCAGGCTGCCTCGCTCGCTCCCTCTCTCCCCACACCAGCCCAAACATCTTGAAGTAATCAGCAGCTGAGAACGGAGACGTCCCCCTGGCATCTCAGGTTAAAGAAGGAGGTCCAGGAAAATGTGGTAGAGCCATTACAAGAAACCTGAGATGCATTCATCAGAGACTCCAATTGCCATCGCATTAGGATTGATTAGAGACCAGCAGTACCGTAATGACCCGGAAAGCGGGGCATACGGGGATTATTAATATCAGACTTCTCAAAAAAAAAAAAAAAAAAGGAGGGAGGGGAAAAAAAAAGAGGAAAAGAGGGAAGGAGGAGGAGGGAAAATGAGGGAAAATTTAAAAAACAAAAGCGCATCGCGGGGCTCCTGCTCGGATGCAGACTTACCTGAGAGCACAGGCACCGGCTAGCCTCAAGGACGAGAATTTATCTAACTTCTAGGAAAGAAAAAGCAAACAAATATGGGGGAAACCCCCATCTCTGGGCACCCTTAAATGGCCCTCCTCCGTGTACGGCTCGCACAGAGACTCCCAACTCCGCGGCCTCGGGGCCGGGCGGGCTGCGGTTCGGGGGTCCCAGCCGGGGGCTCCCCCACCCAGGCCAAAGGACGCCAGTCCCCGGGCTGGCGACAGCAAGGACAAGTTAAGGAGCCACCAGAGAGGGGCAAGGAGACCTCGATGGCTCGTCTCCTTCTCAGTTCCCTGCGCCAAAACAAATCAGCCCCTCCTGGTCTCGGTTTAAATGTAGCTCACTGGATAATTAACTCCATCTTTCCAGCCCTGCTTTAACTGTTTATTTAGTGTCACCCCATATTACCATCACTAGCACTTTCCTCTGAACAGGAGGAGCTGGAGGGTTTCACCTCCCAAAAGGAAATTTTTCGTAGCTTAAAAGAATCAGCATCCAGGAGGTACATTAGCAAAGAGAATAGAGGGGGACAAGGACTGGGGGTCCTTTGGGAAAAGCAGGAGAAAATAAGGGTGGAGGGGGGACAGGAACAGAAAGACGTATCGGCCCTCGGAGAGAAAAAAAAAAAACAACGCGTGATCACCTCTAATCCTTTGAAAAATGTCCCGGTAAGTGCGCGAAGAAAGAGCCCTTTGTGCCCTGGGGATCGGCCACGCCGGGAAGGCCTTATCCTTATCCTCATCCTGCCCCACCATCCCGGCCCGGCCCTGCCCTCCTCCGGCAGCCCCGGCCGGGCCTGACCCCGCCGGGTGCGGGGGGACCCCCGCGTCGGGCACCCCCGGGGTACAGGGCCCGGGGGGCCCGGGCAGGGACGCGGCCCCCGCCCCGCGGACACCGGCTTTGTTTTTACAGGTGTCGGGAGGGCAATTTACTAACAAGCAATTAAAGGTCGCACCGGTTTGCAGGAGCGCCGGGCCAGAGGCTCCTGCGAGAGAAGAGCCGTGCATATGGAGAGGGGTTTGTCCTTCCTCATTAAAAAATAGAATAATAAAGGGGCGGGGGGGGAGGGGGGGAAAGAGAGGGAGAGAAAGAAAATACAAATCCTTTATTGTTGGGGAATAAGCCGGGAAGCTGGCTGTCTCCCTGCGCCTCGCATTCGGCAGGGAAGGCGGCGCGGATCCGGTATCACGTTGCAGATCCTCACTCGAGATAACGAAATGCGATCTATTTTTCAGAACAGCAAGTGGATGGGAAAGGAGCCTCTACAACACAAACCTCATTGACTTAATGGGTCGGTTTTGGATTTCGCCTTCGAAAGGTTCGGCAAGCGGCAGCGTTGTGTTTCTGCCCCGCCGGCTCCCAGCCTTCAGCCCCGGTTCCTCATCCCGACGAGACGCGGCTCCAAAAAAAAAAAAAAACAACAAAACCATTGCTGGTTTTATTTAGTTGCTCTATTTGTTTCCTTCAGACCCTCACACTTAAAGAAAAAAAAAATAAAATTTATTTTTGCTTGGGAAAGAGCTTTATTTCTAATTTCGTGGGTACAGGGGGGATGTATTCGGGCTATTTTTTCCTGATTTGTTTTGGCTTTCTGTCGAAATCGAGGAAAAGCCGCAGAGCGTTGCATGGGCTGCATCTTCATCCCCGCTTCGCGCTGTATAAAACCACATCGAATAAACAAGGGAAGAGATGAATTTCCCGCACAAACAGAGCCGATGGGTGCCCGGGCAAGGGGGGCGAGGAGCGGAGGGCCCCTCGTCCGACCGCCCCCTCTCCGCGGGCGCGGAGCGGGCAGGCCCCGACGGCGGGGGACAGCTCTGGGGGGCTCTGCCCGAGCGGGGAGCGGGGTGATGCTGCCGGGGTGATGCTGCCGTGCTGCTCCTGCTCCGCCGGGAAAGGAAGGACCGAGAGCGGCCGGCGGCAGCTCCGTGCCGTTGTGTTGTTCGGTAGCTTTATCCTCATTTGCATCTGCCTGGTTTATATTTTTATTTTTGTTTTTCGAGCGGCTCGAAACTATTTTTTCTCTGGGTGGTTTTCAAGGGTTAAATGGGATGGGGTGTTCTGGGAATACATGGACCTCTTTCCGCGATTTAAAATGAAAGGTTCCCAATTTTTCGAAAAACCAACCCCGGGCCACAACGAACATTGATGCTGAGCGGTTCTCGCCTGCAGTAACTCCCAGGTAGATCCCGGAGGGTCAGTCCCCTCCTTGTGTGAGTTTTGATGAGACGCAAGAATAAAGTCCCGCTCGGGAATCGCGAGGATGCCTCGGCTCAACCCTCGCCCTTCCCTATCAGCAGTTCCGCCGGCCACATTAGGATAATTTGCTTATTTCCAGTAAGAGCAGTGTTTGTTTTGTCGACCTTTTAAAGGAGGGGGGGGGAAAAAAGAAAAAAAAATAAAGAAAAAAATAAGAGAAGAAATGTGAGGGCAAGAAAAAGCCGCTCTCGTTAAAATGGCCAGGGGCTTTCTCAACCCCGAGTTGCGTTTCTCTCCTTCTCATCCAGAAGTTACAAACCCTCAGATCTCTGCTCTTCCCGAAGTGAGCACCTTATTAGAAAGAAGAAAATAAAGTAAAAAATTAATAACAAAAGACAGGAGCGATGGAGGAGCCCACCCCCAGGCTGGGCAGGGCGCTGTTCCTCCAGGACGCGGCCGCGGGCGAGCCCATGCCTTATAATTCTGCGCACTTGCTCCAGACTTTAGGGTATTAGTTGATTTTAGAGCCGGGTTTAAGGCTTCGTTCCGGTCCCCACACAGCTGCCTTGTCAATAAGGATCTGTTCCAAGCAGACATTCCTTCTGGGAGGACATTGCAGCTCTTTAAGACTTCATCTGCAACATCATAAGTACTAAAATAAAATGGCAAGGGAAAATTACCAGACACATGGTCATGGGATATGGAAGAGCCCTGACTCCAGCGGACATAGTACAGTCGCTGTACAGACTGGGTGGCAAGGGCTTAATTTAAACAGCCCCGAGACGCGAAATACGTGGGAAAAACAACAATCTGGATTTAGGAAAATATCGGGACCGGCCTTTCCCATGTCGTATCGCGGGCAGAGGCTGCGGGCAGGGAGCGGGCAGCGGGAGAGCCGCCGGCCCCGGCTCCGAGCCCTGCGGCTCCCCGGCTGTGAACGGGCTCCTCTTCACTTGGAGCACTAAACTCAAATAAATCCGACTTGGAAGGTCAAATAAATCCGACTGTCTTTAGTGAGGACAAACAAGTTTTAAAGAGCCCCGCGATGGCTCTTGACACCCACGGAGCGAACTCATTCTTGAATCCAAAGCGTTCTGGAGTGTGCTGAAAATACGGGTTTCGACTTATCTAATCAAAGATAAATACAGCCATAAAGGCACCCCCTGCCCCCCGCGCCCTGCCCTTATCTCACCGCATTGTCCTCACCTCCCTGCTGACAATAGATTATCTTTGCTTAGGGAGCCTAATTGTTTTCTAATTTTTCAAATAATTGCTTTTGAGTGAGGTGTGCAAATGAGGATTAGGCTAATTAAAGCGCCGCCGATGGGTGCAGCGCCGCTGCCCGCCGCCCGCACGGGGCTGCCCCGACCCGTCGGGACCCCCCCGAGGGGAACTGGGCAAAGCTGGGGGCAGGAAGGGGCGCACGGGTCCCCGCGTGTCATTTAGCCATTCACCAAACCATTATTTATTCATCCTCAGCACTAGGGTAATTAAATACGGGGTGCCTTGGCAGGGGACGGCCAGCGGCCGGGGGGGGTGAGGACGAGGAGGAGGGGGGGAGGGGGAGAAAGGGGTTTTGGGGCAGAAAAAAAAAAGATGGAAGAAAGCAAGCAAGCAAGCAAAAAAGAAAGACAAGAAGAGCCCGGCGGGAGCAGCTTCCCCGGGGATGCGCCCGGGGGCGCGGGCGGCGGGGCCGCACCCGCGCAGAGGCGGCGGCGGGACGCGCAGCCGCGGCCGGGGCCGTGTCCGGGGCCGTGTCCCCGCCGCCAGGCCCCGCCCGCCCGTGCCGAGGCTCTGCCCGCCGGGCCGGGCTGGGCTGGGCTGGGCTGGGCTGTCCGGGCTGGGCCGGGCCGGGCCGGGGGTGCCCAATCAGCGCGGCGCGGGGGCTCGGGCGCTTTAAGCGCGGCGGCGGCGGAGCGGGGACAAAGTCCCCCCGGCGGAGCGACGAGCATCCCCGCTCAGCCTGACACACCGCCCCCGGCTGCCGCAGCGCCTCCCCGCTCTGGGGCCGCCACCGGCACCGGGATCGGGATCAGCACCGGGACCGGGCCCGGCGGGCGCCTCCCCCGCGCCCCTCCGCCGCCGCGCTCCCGCGGAGTGCCCTCCTCCTCTTCCTCCTCCTCCTCGTCCTCCTGCGGCCGCCGCCGCGCTCGGCCATGTCGATGCTGCCGTCGTTTGGCTTCACGCAGGAGCAGGTCGCCTGCGTCTGCGAGGTGCTGCAGCAAGGGGGGAACCTGGAGAGGCTGGGCCGGTTCCTCTGGTCGCTGCCGGCCTGCGACCACCTGCACAAGAACGAGAGCGTCCTCAAGGCCAAGGCGGTGGTGGCCTTCCACCGCGGCAACTTCCGCGAGCTCTACAAGATCCTGGAGAGCCACCAGTTCTCCCCCCACAACCACCCCAAGCTGCAGCAGCTCTGGCTGAAGGCGCACTACGTGGAAGCCGAGAAGCTGCGGGGCAGACCCTTGGGCGCCGTCGGCAAATACCGCGTCCGCCGAAAATTCCCTCTGCCCCGCACCATCTGGGACGGCGAGGAAACCAGTTACTGCTTCAAGGAGAAATCCCGGGGCGTGCTGCGGGAATGGTACGCCCACAACCCCTACCCGTCCCCCCGGGAGAAGCGGGAGTTGGCGGAAGCCACCGGTCTCACCACCACCCAGGTCAGCAACTGGTTCAAGAACAGGAGGCAACGGGACCGAGCGGCGGAGGCGAAGGAAAGGTACGTGCCATCCCCCCATCCACTCCATCTCCCCCTCTTCTCCCTGCTCCACCCTGCGGGGGTCGGTTGGGAACCCCGGGAGCGCGGCGAGTACCCGGTGGTGGATGGGATGGGAGCGACGAAAACACACGGTTCCCTCCAAATCTCATTTTTTAAAATCATAAACCGTGTTGCGTCTC